GGGGGGGGGGGGTTGTGCCAGAAGAAAAAAGAAGGAAAAGGGGGTGCACTGTATGTGCAACAGGAGTGGACCCCACTGGGGACAACGAAAGACTGCTCCTTCCTGGCTAAAACTCAAAATTGCCTAAAGATAAATGTCGCCTCTTCAGACACAAGAGCCTCTCTCTGCCAGCTTCCCAGAGACAAAGTTTAAAGGTTAAGTAGACTGGGTTTAAAAGTAAAACTTATCATGGTATCCAGTTGTGTATAAATTCCACCGAGTCTGAGCGAAGCACTTCAGTGGCTGAGTGAACGTCCCTTTGAGATGTCACTGTCATGGCCACATTCCTATTGCCCGAGGCGGTCTCCTCAGCCTCCTTGGGCTGGGCCGGTGTGTAAATCTCTGGAGCAGAAGCGGATGTGCATTTCACTCTGCCCACGGGCAGGGGCCTGGTAAGCCCAGATCGCCATGGGTCTGGACAGGCTGTTAAGGGGAGGTCTTGCCCAAAATTTTGGTGACGTTGCACCAGAGAAAGGAACAACTAACTACCGAGGGATGATCATACCAGGTTTCCCAGCCAGGACCGTAAAAGACAGCCCAAACCCTGTATTCAAAATCCAAACACAGAGCCAGATAGAGCACATGCCAAGACACAAAGACAAGTGGGGTGGGGAGAATTGAAGTGGGGGGTGGGAGGTAGTTTGGAGCCATCAGCAGGAAGGGAGGGACTAGCAGGAACTCCTCATCAGGTATCCAGGTGCTTCTGATGCTAAGCCCAACCTCTGGGCTGGACACGTCAGAAGCTGCTAGTATGTGACTACACTGTCATTCATTCAACAAATATTTAGTGAGCTTCCATTATCTGCCTGGAATAATAACTAGATGCTGGGACACAGAGGTGCAAAAAGTAAGATCAAAACAAGGTCCCTATTTTCATAGGGCTTTTATTTAAATGGGGGAAATACACGTACAATAGATAAATGAGTAAATAATATAATTCAGAAAGTGAACAGAGCTGTAAGGAAAATAAGTGTAATGGGCTAAGAGAGTGACCTAGAACAGAGGGGGCTATTTTGGATGGTTCTGCCTCAGGCACCCTCTGGGGTAGGGAATATTTGAGCGGAGTTACAGGAAAGAGCTAGGCATGCAAAGATTTAGAAGCAGAGCATCCCGAGTAAAAACAACAGGTATAAAAGTCCTTGAACTTGATGGGTTCGAGATAGGAAGAAAAGTCAAAATGTCTAAAATGACAGTGAATGTGGAGGACAGTAGGAGGGAAAAGGTCGGATGGGTAGGCAAGGCCAGGTCCTTTAGGGACTTGTAGGACCTGGCAAGGGCTGGATTAATATCTAAGGGTGTTGGGTAGCCATTGGGAGATTGTAAGTGGGAGACTTACATTTTCAAAAATATACTAGGGCTGTATTGGGGAATCAAGACCAGAAGGAAGCAGGGAGACCAGATTTTTGCCCCAGCTCAAAGGAAAGGTGATTGTGGTTCAGAGGAAGAAAACAGCAGTGGAAGTGGAGAGAAGTGGATGGATTTGAGATGTGACAGAATTAACAGAACTTCGTACTGGAATGGATGAGGGGTTGGGAGAGGAGGAATAGAGGGATCAAAGATTACTCCTAGGTTATTTGGCCTGTGGAACTAAGAGGTGCCAAACAAGATGGGGAAGACAGGAGGTACAGGATCAAGGCGCCCAGGTTTCTGTATTGCATGTGTGTATTTGAGATGCCAACTGAACTTCTTTTTTTTTTATGTTGATTTATTTTTTGAGAGAGAGAGACAGAGAGAAACAGAACATGAGTGGGGGAGGGGCAGAGAGAGAGGAGATACAGAATCCGAAGCAGGCTCCAGGCTCTGAGCTGACAGCACAGAGCCCCACGCCGGGCTCGAACTCACCAACTGCGAGATTATGACCTGAGCCCAAGTCGGCCACCCAACTGACCGAGCCACCCACGTGCCCCAAGGTGAATTTTAAATACATTGCATGTATCCTATATTTTAAAGCAAACTATTCTGGGGCGCCTGGGTGGCTCAGTCGGTTAAGCGTCCGACTTCGGCTCAGGTCATGGTCTCTCAGTCTGTGAGTTCGAGCCCCGCGTCGGGCTCTGTGCTGATAGCTCAGAGCCTGGAGCCTGTTTCAGATTCTGTGTCTCCCTCTCTCTGACCCTCCCCCATTCATGCTCTGTCTCTCTCTGTCTCAAAAATAAATAAACGTTAAAAAAAATAAATAAAAAAAAAATAAATAAAAAATAAAGCAAACTATTCTAAAAAAAAAAAAAAACCACCTCCAATTTTTATGGTAAAAAGAGGTAGTTTAACAGTATTGAGCTTTGAGTCAGGCAGAGCTAGGTTTGATTCTGAGCTCAGCCACGTTAGAGCTGAGTAACCTCGGACATGTAATATAAACTCTGTCCCCTACTCCTCATCCACAAAACTGTGAAAATAATAAAATTGCATAAAAATTAAATGTAATTTGTAAGTGCCTGGCGCACTGCCTGGCGTGCAGTAAGCTAGTGATGCATGGCAACTTCAGGTTTCCTTGTTTGTGGAGTTCTCCTCTGATTTCAGACAGTCTATTATAAATAGTGTAACATTTACACCATTGAGCCAAATCTGCAATGAGCCCAGCTCGTGTGTATAAGGTTGTTTTTTTCAAATCCATCTTTATTTGCCATCTAATTTAGTTCTTCACCTTGAATAAAATGGCAGAGAATTTTAAGTTAAAGGAGAGCTCTAACCTGGTGTGTGGGAGCTCTTTTATTCCATTAAAGTCCGACAGGCCGAGTGTCTCCAGTGTCCTGTCTCACACAGGAGCCGCTGGTCATATACAGTTATTTAATTAAAAATAAACGAAATTTAAAATCCAGTTCCTCACGCATCCTAGCCACATTTCAAGTGATCATGGTCACTTGTGGCTAGTGTCCATCATATTGCAGAGCATGGATAAGAACATTTCCATCATGGCAAGAATTTCTGTGGGCAAGCTCTGGCTAGAACCTATAGTCACTAAAGTGTGGGACCTGTATATTGGTGTGTATGTATATACACGGAAAGTGAGAATAAGCATAAAAAAATATATAAAATTGAAATTAATTGCAGATTAACTTAAATGTGTACTAAAGATAATATTAAGTCACTAAGGATTAAATTTAGTTTCTATAAAAGTTGGAAAACTGTTCATGGAATAGTATATTTGGTTGTAAATATGAAATGGTTTTATCTGTCCAATTACTACTACTCGTTGTGCCACTAATCCAGTTCTCGAACTCTTCTGTCACTTTTGGCTAATTAAGGCAGCCCCTTCACAATTCCTAAAGACTTGGTCGATTCACTGTAAAGCCTCAGTCTCTTATTTGATTCAAAGCACTCTTCTCCTGCTATGCAGGACAGGAAAATGAGAAAATACTATACTGTAGGGTGACTGGCAAGGCAGGGGTGCAGTGTTAGCTAGAGTGGTCAGAGATACCCCTCTTGGAAGACCTCACATTTGAGCCAAGACCAGAGTCATGAGAGTGAGTAATCCCTAGACCTCTCTTAGGAAGAGTTCAGAGACTGAGGGTGTAAAAAGCAGGTGCAAATGCCCTGAGGATACAGACCTGGCAGAGGAAAGAAACTTTTTTAAAGGCCAGTATGACTGGAGGGCAATGAAGGAGAGGAGATTGTACAAAATGAGGCTATAGAAGTAGACACAGGACAGATGAAGAAAGGCATGGCGACCGCGGTTAGGAGTCTGAGTCTGGAGATAAAGGTGTATTAACATTGTATAGCTTCACTTCTGCTTCATGTTCCATCTTTCTCGCAGTTATCCCCACCTCTCTCCTACAAGCGTCATTTTCTCCCTTGATACTGGATCATCCCCACGGGCATGTCATTAAGTCATTAAAAATTTCATGATTAAAAATGTTTTTGACAGTTCCGCCAACCCCCCTCCAGATGTAGCTCTATTTGTCTATTCCCTTAATAGTAAAATTCCTTGAAAGGAGTGACCTCTGTTGCCCGTATCCACTATTCCACCTCCCATTGTCCACCCCCCCCGCCCAACTAGTAATGTGTTCATCCCTACCTTTTTAGTAAAATGCTCATCAGGGTCCCCCACAGCTTTGCTCCAGCCCAGTGATCTCTTCTCTGTCCTCAATCACTCAACTTCTTAGAGTCATTGTACATATCGAACATCCATCTCTCCTTCCTGAAATAAATATTTCTTCCTTAGGCTTCCATAATATCATGGATTTTTTTTCCTTTTTTCCTTTTCCCTTTTTTTAAATCTACTTCACCCATCCCCTCACCCACCTCCCCTCTGGCAACACCAGTTTGTTCTCTGTATTTAAGAGTCTGGTTTTGGGGGGCACCTGGGTGGCTTAGTCAGTTGAGTGTCCAACGCTTGATATTGCCTTAGATCATGATCTCGCGGTCATGGGATTGAGGCCCACATCAGGCTTCATGCTGACTGGGGAGCCTGCTTGAGATTCTCTGTCTCCTTCTCTCTTTCCCCTTCCCCCACTCGTGCATGCGTTGCTCTCTCTGTCTGTCTCAAAATAAATAAACATTTTAAAAAAGAGTCTTTTTTTTTGTTCATTTGTTTCTTAAATTCCACATATGAGTGAAATCGTATGGTATTTGTCTGTCTCTGACTTATTTTACTTAGCATTATACTCTCTAGGTCCACCCATGTTGTTGCAAATGGCAAGATTGCATCCTTTTTTTATGGATGAGTGATATTCCA